TTTAAACCTGGTTAGGAAATTTGATATATTTACAAACAACCAAAAAGCTGAACACTCATTCTTCTGCCATCATTGACAAAATAACTGCAGAGCCATCAAATGCAAAGATATAAAAATTCTGCAGGATGGAGGAATTGGTGAATGACTTAACAGCCAGACACACACACACACATACCAAAAGTCATTTGTCAGCCGCAAGTTGCAATAACTACATTCCTATTCAGTTGGAAGGTATACCTTTATGGTGGTTACAACAAAACCAACAACATTTTTACACCTTTTCTTTTTTACTGCTGAATTCTCTGAATGAATTTTGTTAAATATTTAAAAAAACAACAAAATTCCGTTAGTAGTTTAACCGATCGACCGCCCGCATTAATACAAATCTTTAAATTCAACTGGAATTTCAAAAAAAATGTGAAACAATAGTCGAGCCAAAATAATAGTAGTGTGCACATTTGCAGTTGGTGGCGCAACATGTTGCAAACAAATAACCGTAATGAAAATGTATGAATTGTGAGGACGATTTTTTGTGTAAGTATTTGTGTTTATTTAGTGTATTGCACATTTTTGTGCGGGTATCATTTACAAAATCTGTTAATTATTTGCCTGTTTCAACATCTGTTAAGTGAAAATGTTCATCTGTTCTTATTTTGTTTTCATTAAGAGATCTAATAGAGAAAGATCTATTCATTTTATTGTGGCATGCTACAAAAATTTTGCAGCTTGGAAAATATACCTTGTTATCCTCGTGACAATTTTATTTATGGATTTCTTTGATATTGTTGCTTATTTTGGAACAATGTTTCTTCTCCTAAGCTGGTGTGAGTAACATTTCAAAATCTCTTTAATCGGTTAGACTCCGTATATCCAAATGTAATCAGGATTTGGATACGTGGTTGGTTGGCATTCACTTCATTCATTACGGTGCTAGATTATATTTGTTAACGTACATATGTGACAGTCCGGATCAGATCAGGACCGATTCTTCTTTGTGTAAACATTAACTATTACATGGGTATGAATTGTTGTCAGGATCCTTTTCTGTAAAACACAGGATCAAGTGGGTTTCTTCATCCGAACCATGGATACTGTTAAGCCTAAAAGCAGAGGAATGTAGTTAGTTAGTCTGTTAGTTAGGTAGTTCGTTCGTTAGTTAGTTTGTTAGTTAGTTAGTTAGTTAGTTAGTTAGTTCGTTAGTTAGTTAGTTAGTTCGTTAGTTAGTTAGTTAGTTAGTTAGTTAGTTAGTTAGTTAGTTAGTTAGTTAGTTAGTTAGTTAGTTAGTTAGTTAGTTAGTTAGTTAGTTAGTTAGTTAGTTGTGGCCTCCGGTAGGTTAGGTGGCCTCCGGTAGGTTAGTGGTTAGTGTTCTAGTCTGGTAGACCGGAGGTGGTGGGTTCGATTCCCACCTAAGGCACTGGTTAAGGAGCGCACAACAGGCCCGATAGAGGCCTAGGTGTATTTCTTCGGATTTGATGTATATACATCCTCCTTTCAAACTAACTAACTAACTAGTTAGTTAGTTAGTTGGTTAGTTAGTAGTTAGTTAGTAGTTAGTTAGTTAGTAGTTAGTAGTAGTTAGTTAGTTAGTTAGTTAGTTAGTTAGTTAGTTAGTTAGTTAGTTAGTAGTAGTTAGTTAGTTCGTTAGTTAGTTAGTTAGTTAGTTAGTTAGTTAGTTAGTAGTTAGTAGTTAGTTAGTTAGTTAGTTAGTTAGTTAGTTAGTTAGTTAGTTAGTTAGTAGTTAGTTAGTTAGTTAGTTAGTTAGTAGTTAGTTAGTTAGTTAGTAGTTAGTTAGTTAGTTAGTTAGTTAGTTAGTTAGTTAGTAGTTAGTTAGTTAGTTAGTTAGTTAGTTAGTTAGTTAGTTAGTTAGGTTAGTAGTTAGTTAGTTAGTTAGTTAGTAGTTAGTAGTTAGTTAGTTAGTAGTTAGTTAGTTAGTAGTAGTTAGTAGTTAGTTAGTTAGTAGTTAGTTGTTAGTTAGTTGTTAGTTAGTTAGTAGTAGTTAGTTAGTTAGTTAGTAGTTAGTTAGTTAGTTAGTTAGTTAGTTAGTTAGTTAGTTAGTTAGTTAGTAGTTAGTTAGTTAGTTAGTTAGTTAGTTAGTTAGTTAGTTAGTTAGTTAGTTAGTTAGTTAGTTAGTTAGTTAGTTAGTTAGTTAGTTAGTTAGTTAGTTAGTTAGTTAGTTAGTTAGTTAGTTAGTTAGTTAGTTAGTAGTTAGTTAGTTAGTTAGTTAGTTAGTTAGTAGTTAGTTAGTTAGTTAGTTAGTTAGTTAGTTAGTTAGTTAGTTAGTAGTTAGTTAGTTAGTTAGTTAGTTAGTTAGTTAGTTGTTAGTTAGTTAGTTAGTTAGTTAGTTAGTTAGTTAGTTAGTTAGTTAGTTAGTTAGTTAGTTAGTTAGTTAGTTAGTTAGTTAGTTAGTTAGTTAGTTAGTTAGTTAGTTAGTTAGTTAGTTAGTTAGTTAGTTAGTTAGTTAGTTAGTTAGTTAGTTAGTTAGTTAGTTAGTTAGTAGTTAGTTAGTTAGTTAGTTAGTTAGTTAGTTAGTTAGTTAGTTAGTTAGTTAGTAGTTAGTTAGTTAGTTAGTTAGTTAGTTAGTTAGTTAGTAGTTAGTTAGTTAGTTAGTTAGTTAGTTAGTTAGTTAGTTAGTTAGTTAGTTAGTTAGTTAGTAGTTAGTTAGTTAGTTAGTTAGTTAGTTAGTTAGTTAGTTAGTAGTAGTTAGTTAGTTAGTTAGTTAGTTAGTTAGTTAGTTAGTTAGTAGTTAGTAGTTAGTTAGTTAGTTAGTTAGTTAGTAGTAGTTAGTTAGTTAGTTAGTTAGTTAGTGTAGTTAGTTAGTTAGTTAGTTAGTTAGTTAGTTAGTTAGTTAGTTAGTTAGTTAGTTAGTTAGTTAGTTAGTTAGTTAGTTAGTTAGTTAGTTAGTTAGTTAGTTAGTTAGTTAGTAGTAGTTAGTTAGTTAGTTAGTTAGTTAGTTAGTTAGTTAGTAGTTAGTTAGTTAGTAGTCTACCAGACTAGAACACTGACCACTAACCTACTGCAGGCCACACTAACCTACCGGAGGTCTTAGAGTTTGGACCAACTTTACTAGACACTTTAAGGTACCATGACTCCAATTAGTCTAGTGAAGTTTGTCTGTTCAATTCTCTTAAGATTTATACAGAGGTCCAAATGGTCTCAATTGGAAAATACCGACTTTTTTCCTCTAGTACATGAGTTTAATATATAAAAAGTGTGTTCCATTAGATATTAGATATTCTTGTTTATATCCAAATTCGACCCACGAAGATGTTGATCAATATATACCAGAAACGTTAAAAATTTCTAACCATCATCTAGCCACCCTAAGCAGTGGCTAGGGGAGAGGTATTCAAAGAGTATGTAACTGCTAAATAAGATTATCATTATTTATGAGTCTCTTCATTTACCAGTCTAGACTTATTAGACGCTATACATTACATTGTTATCACATTCAGAGAATTTTCTATACCTAGAAAAAGTTCTTAATCCGAACTTCCTAGTATTCATAAAATGTTGAAAATCTTTTTATATTTGTATACTCTTCATCATTATGAAAAGAGTACATATAAGTTTGTCATTTTGTTTGTACTTTAATTTAGACCCTTATATATGGCGTAATCGATTTAGCGATACCCATCACTTTGTCCATTTAGAGCATGTTGGAGCCCCCAAGAGAAGAGCTTGCTTGGTGGGCAAGTACGAGTCGAAGGGCCACCATTTTGACAGGACTCCAGATGTAGTATTATGTAGTATTAGATTAAGCCTATAGCCATGAGAAATCTTAAGATGTCATTAAGTTTGGAGCCAGATATCGCACCAAGATTGAATATGAAGTGACTGCCAAGAAATATGTTTCCCTTAAAGCTACAGACGGGCATTGACAAAGAAGACGTCTTTGCTAGGTCTGTCTAGCACCCAGTGTCCTGTTACTGCTTATATTGAAAAGCTAAAAGGCAAAAATTGTTCAAAAATATTTTTTACTAATAAGCTTTGTTATTGAAAATGAGCAATATCGGTCTATAATTTCACCTAGAGTACAAAACAAAGGTCTTCCCGGAATTCCCGGAAGGAGGTAAAAGCTACTTTTGATTTCGATATTTCAAGTAGGCAAGATGCCACTAGACATTGTGAATATGAGGATTAGAGTACTAAAATTTTGTCGCACCCACTTTACTGTCGATATGAATATTTATGACAAAAATTTAGGTACTAGCAGTTGGGAGCGTGGCATCTCCCCCATGAATTAAATGCAAAAATTCGAATATTTGGGAAACTATTGCAGCTAAAATCCTAAAATTTTGCACGATCAATATTGAAATACACAGGAACTACGAGAAAAAATAGGCGTGGCACTTCCCCTATGAATTAAGTACATAAAAATTGTATGTAAAGGTAACGATTGGAGCTAGAATATTCAAACAAACAACTTTAACATCCATGTAAACATTTGAGTAATAAATGTATAGGGGCGTGGCACTGCCCATATGAATTAATTCCAAAAAATTCGAATATCTGTAAAACCATTAGAGCTAGAATGCTCAAATTTAGCACGAACAACATTGAAAGTAATGTGAAGAATCATAAGAAATAAAAATAAAATTCGACAAAATTCTTAATGAACCAAACTCTCATCCGATAATTAACCTGATATTCATAGTAATATCGGTGTATGTATACAATTCAGCATAATTAATTAACAAATAAAACGTGTTAGTAAATGTCGGAAGACTTGATTCATAAAGACCTAAGCTCGTTTATAGGGCAGCTTTCCCAAATTTATGATTGTAGGTATATAAGATTCGGCATAGCCGAATATAATACTTTTACTGATTAAATGTTGAATTCAATATTCAAATGCTTATAGTAAAATTATCAGTAAAATCAATGAACTCATTATTGAATTTAAATGAAATGTTTTACTATATTTCGCATTTCTCGTTTATTAACTAATCAGTGGCTAAATCTTACTTTATAAATATAAAAAAATTAAATATATAATATAAATGCAATAAATAATTTTGAAATAAATAAAAACACATCAGTTACAGTTTTACTCTTCCTAATAAATAGCAATTGATCGGCATAATGAATTTTTATGGTATTTTATTTGCTATAATTTCAATACTTCAGACTGTGGCTGTAACTACAGGTAAGAGAAAATGTTAAAGTTCTAAAAGAAAAAATAAGACATGAGAGCCGTTCAAATACTATAAACTGGACCTTTTAACAAAGAAATTCTATTAATAATTTTATTTCATTCCTTCAGCCAATCCCGAAAGTTGCTTCGAAGTTCTCAACAAATATTCTGCAGATGAAATCAAAAAGATTTTCAATATGAATTTAAGAGACACTATCCTAAAACAGCCTGCCAGTGATATACTAAATTGTTTTCTAAGTAAATCTTCGCACGGTGATGCTTCCGAAAGCAAACAATTATTTGATATCTATAAAAAGCTCGAAGAATATAAACGTGATCCTTCAACACCATTAGATAATGAAAAACTAACTAAGCTCGTGTCAATGGGTCTTCCCTTTAAATTGGAAAGCTCATTAAAGGCTAAACTTAAGCAGGGTAAAACAATTACCTTAACTGAAGTTCAAAATCTGATAATGAATGAAATTGAACTGAAGGGCGAGTACACCACTTACCGACAACATATTGAGAAGGAATTACATGAACAAGAAGTTCACGATAAAATTAATATAATCGGTTGGATAGTAGGTTGATCGATTTATCGTCATCTTACAATTAACATTTATCAAAAAGTCGAATTTCCAAAAAAAATTCGGAAAATATTTCTTTAAAAATAAAATCTATTTAATTATAAATAATGTGAAACCTTATTTATGTTTTGTTAAAAAAAATGCAAGTGAAAGTGTTGTAAATTTAAAAAAAGCCAGTAGAGTGTTAAAATTACTAGCTGAAGGGGACCTTATATAGGGGGTAGGGTCAATTATGTATCGATACTTATAAAATATGAGAGATTTTTGGGTGGTATGAAACATATTTGTGTGGAATTTCTTCGCTGTACTCGTATTTTTAATACAGCAATGAGCGTTCAAGTCTTTTTTTAGGGGACCTTATTAGGGGAGGGTGTGTGTTTCAATAATGGACCAATCCTCATAAAATTTAGCAGAGACATTTTGTCTTGTAACAAACTTATTTATGTATGTCGAATTTCATCGATATGCTCGCATTTTAAAGCCATTAATGAGCGTTAAAGTAAGTTTCTAAAGGGGACCTTATGCGGGGTTTTGGACCAATTATGTACCGATCCTCAAAATATTTTGTACAGAGATTTGGCTTGTATGAAACATGTATTGTGTCAAGTGTCTTCGCTGTATCCGTACTTTTAAGGTAGTACTGATAGTTAAAATCATTTTATGAATGGGACCTTAAATGGTGGGTAGGGTCAATTATGGACCGATCCTTATAAAATTCTACAAAGAGATTTAGGTTCCTATAAAACATGTTAGTTAGTTAGTTAGTAGTAGTTAGTTAGTTAGTTAGTAGTTAGTTAGTTAGTTAGTTAGTTAGTTAGTTAGTTAGTTAGTTAGTTAGTTAGTTAGTTAGTTTAGTTAGTTAGTAGTTAGTTAGTTAGTAGTTAGTTAGTTAGTTAGGTTAGTTAGTTAGTTAGTTAGTTGTTAGTTAGTTAGTTAGTTAGTTAGTTAGTTAGTTAGTTAGTTAGTTAGTTAGTTAGTTAGTTAGTTAGTTAGTTAGTTAGTTAGTTAGTAGTTAGTTAGTTAGTTAGTTAGTTAGTTAGTTAGTTAGTTAGTTAGTTAGTTAGTTAGTTAGTTAGTTAGTTAGTTAGTTAGTTAGTTAGTTAGTTAGTTAGTTAGTTAGTAGTTAGTTAGTTAGTTAGTAGTTAGTTAGTTAGTTAGTTAGTTAGTTAGTTAGTTAGTTAGTTAGTTAGTTAGTTAGTTAGTAGTTAGTTAGTTAGTTGTTAGTTAGTTAGTTAGTTAGTTAGTTAGTTAGTTAGTTAGTTAGTTAGTTAGTTAGTTAAGTTAGTTAGTTAGTTAGTTAGTTAGTAGTTAGTTAGTTAGTTAGTTAGTTAGTTAGTTAGTTAGTTAGTTAGTTAGTTAGTTAGTTAGTTAGTTAGTAGTTAGTTAGTTAGTAGTTAGTTAGTTAGTTAGTTAGTTAGTTAGTTAGTTAGTTAGTTAGTTAGTTAGTTAGTTAGTTAGTTAGTTAGTTAGTTAGTTAGTTAGTTAGTAGTTAGTTAGTTAGTTAGTTAGTTAGTTAGTTAGTTAGTTAGTTAGTTAGTTAGTTAGTTAGTTAGTTAGTTAGTTAGTAGTTAGTTAGTTAGTTAGTTAGTTAGTTAGTTAGTTAGTTAGTTAGTTAGTTAGTTTAGTTAGTTAGTTAGTTAGTTAGTTAGTAGTTAGTTAGTTAGTTAGTTAGTTAGTTAGTTAGTTTAGTTAGTTAGTTAGTTAGTTAGTTAGTTAGTTAGTTAGTAGTTAGTAGTTAGTTAGTTAGTTAGTTAGTTAGTTAGTTAGTTAGTTAGTTAGTTAGTTAGTTAGTTAGTTAGTTAGTTAGTTAGTTAGTTAGTTAGTTAGTTAGTTAGTTAGTAGTTAGTTAGTTAGTTAGTTAGTTAGTTAGTTAGTTAGTTAGTTAGTTAGTTAGTTAGTTAGTTAGTTAGTTAGTTAGTAGTTAGTTAGTTAGTTAGTTAGTTAGTTAGTTAGTTAGTTAGTTAGTTAGTTAGTAGTTAGTTAGTTAGTTAGTTAGTTAGTTAGTAGTTAGTTAGTTAGTTAGTTAGTTAGTTAGTTAGTTAGTTAGTTAGTTAGTTAGTTAGTTAGTTAGTTAGTTAGTTAGTTAGTTAGTTAGTTAGTTAGTTAGTTAGTTAGTTAGTTAGTTAGTTAGTTAGTTAGTTAGTTAGTTAGTTAGTTAGTTAGTTAGTTAGTTAGTTAGTTAGTTAGTTAGTTAGTTAGTTAGTTAGTTAGTTAGTTAGTTAGTTAGTTAGTTAGTTAGTTAGTTAGTTAGTTAGTGTAGTTAGTTAGTTAGTTAGTTAGTTAGTTAGTTAGTTAGTTAGTTAGTTAGTTAGTTAGTAGTTAGTTAGTAGTTAGTTAGTTAGTAGTTGTTAGTTAGGTTAGTTAGTTAGTTAGTTAGTTAGTTAGTAGTTAGTTAGTAGTTAGTTAGTTAGTTAGTAGTTAGTTAGTTAGTTAGTTAGTTAGTTAGTTAGTTAGTTAGTTAGTAGTTAGTTAGTAGTTAGTTAGTTAGTTAGTTAGTTAGTTAGTAGTTAGTTAGTTAGTTAGTTAGTTAGTTAGTTAGTTAGTTAGTTAGTTAGTTAGTTAGTAGTTAGTTAGTTAGTAGTTAGTTAGTTAGTTAGTTAGTTAGTTAGTTAGTTAGTTAGTTAGTTAGTTAGTTAGTTAGTTAGTTAGTTAGTTAGTAGTTAGTTAGTAGTTAGTTAGTTAGTTAGTTAGTAGTAGTTAGTTAGTTAGTTAGTTAGTTAGTTAGTTAGTTAGTTAGTTAGTTAGTTAGTTAGTTAGTTAGTTAGTAGTTAGTTAGTTAGTTAGTTAGTAGTTAGTTAGTAGTTAGTTAGTTAGTTAGTTAGTTAGTTAGTTAGTTAGTTAGTTAGTTAGTTAGTAGTTAGTTAGTTAGTTAGTTAGTTAGTTAGTAGTTAGTTAGTTAGTTAGTTAGTAGTTAGTTAGTTAGTTAGTTAGTTAGTTAGTTAGTTAGTTAGTTAGTTAGTTAGTTAGTTAGTTAGTAGTTAGTTAGTTAGTTAGTTAGTTAGTTAGTTAGTTAGTAGTTAGTTAGTTAGTTAGTTAGTTAGTTAGTTAGTTAGTTAGTTAGTTAGTTAGTTAGTTAGTTAGTAGTTAGTTAGTTAGTTAGTTAGTTAGTTAGTTAGTAGTAGTTAGTTAGTTAGTTAGTTAGTTAGTTAGTTAGTTAGTTAGTTAGTTAGTTAGTTAGTTAGTTAGTTAGTTAGTTAGTTAGTTAGTTAGTTAGTTAGTTAGTTAGTTAGTAGTAGTAGTTAGTTAGTTAGTTAGTTAGTTAGTTAGTAGTTAGGTTATATATATTGAACATATTAATGCCTGTTTCAATTGTATTCCGTTTCCGCTCGTACGGCGTTATGTTTAAATTGTAGACCGATATTGCCCATTTTTAAAACCAAACGCAACAAATTTATTTCAAAAATATTTCCGGCTCATAGTATGCTGATTGTAACAAACTATAGAAAAATACTCTTAAAATACCTTCAAAAGTGCACTTCAAATAAAAAACACTTTTTTTCAGAAAATAACTCGGTATTTATTACTGAAACAATTAACCCAGTCTATTATTTAATAGCTGCCCTCATATTTTCTTATAAATAAATTTAATTTCTTAACGAACGTACGAAAAACAAAAAAACATTGAGAAACCTAATTTCTTGACAAACACTTCAAAAACTTATAGCGACCCTAAAGGTGTTTACACACATCCTTATCCTTTAGAACAAGCATTCATTTATTCAAGCAACCACCTATTATTCATTCAAAGACATCAAACAAACACACAAAAAAATCAAAACAATTCAAGAAATTGAAACGTTTTTGGAAGAAAAAGAAAAAAGCAACAACAAGCATAATTACCTTATGAATGAGCAACAAATAAGAACAACAATAACACTTAAGAACCAGCATATATGGTGGCCAGCAAGTCTAAGATGTCGAGGTGTGTCGTGGAAAAAACAAACAATAGAATTTCATCTCAATATAAGGGGAGGGCATTGAAATGAGCTCTTAAGGTGTTTAAAGTGGGTTGGTTTTTAATAGAGAACAATGTTTTTTTTTTCAAGATTTTATTTATAAATTACATTTGTAGGGTATATGTATGAAATATATACAGGTACTATTGAAGGCTTAATAATAGTTTTGCATACAATTTTTAATCAACTTAATGTTGCAAATAAGTAATTCAAAATTATTTTAAGTGCATAATGATAGAGGTAATATACATACATAGTTATTTTTTTAAATATTGTTTTATGCGTTACGCCCTTAAATAATAGTTTCTCACCCTTCATTTCTCGACTCGATATAATGTAATTAAAAACAAGACATTTACACTATCCAACTTAAATATGGGGAGTATTATCAAATGGACAGACGGACATCGTTTTTCTTGGGGTCTTAGTTCTACTATTATGACAAATTGACTTTATAAAAGTGTAATAATAATAATCTGGTGGACTGCTTTGGACCAGTAGGAATCCGTTGTTACATGGATGGCTCTAAATTAGGGGACAAAGTAGGGCTTTGAGGACTCAGAAATATACCACCGTTTACCAAATCATAACACAAGCTTCCAGAAGTCCGAGCAATAACGGAATGCGTAAATTGGATTAGAATAAATGTGGCGCCCACAGCGCTTAATATATTTACCGACAGTCAGAAGGCAATTTGAGGCGATATCAGATGGTAGAATTAAATCTAAGACCGAATTGGGTAAGAAAGCTTTAACCGAATAGTCTCCCAGAGGTAAGTTTTACATCTTATGGGTGCCAGCTCACTCGGGAGTAGTCGGCAACGAAAGAGTGAATGTAATAGCTTTAAAGGGACGGGAGCTCGAGGCAGTTAACCAGACACACGCAAAACCATCCAACGCAACAAATGCTGAACTAAAAATTTGGGTGGGAGAATCCCATAAGGCCTCTTGGAGTAATGAAACGGTGGGTAGATCCATAAAGTTCCTATGGGCTGACCCTGATGAGAGCAAGACGAGAAATCTTCTCAAAATGAGCAAGTCTCAAGTTGATGGTACGTATTCTGAGTGGACACATAGTATTAAGAGCACATCTATGCAAAATTGGGCGTGCAAATTCGAATGAATGTAGACCATGTGGAGAGGTCAGTGAAACTCGAGAG